GAAGAAAGGCAAGGTAAAAATATTTTAAATAAATAAAACAAAAGAATATCAAAAATAAAAGTATTCAACAGCAGAAACATTTAGAATTTCTTTGGTGTGGGCATGTCTATTTTTCTTTCATGACTTTCTGGACACCTAATATAGCCATTTAGCAGTTGCATCCACAGGAGGAATAAAACAAACCTACACAATTTGGGTGTTTTTTTAAAAAAACTTAGCCCATCAGTTAAAATTAATTCTCAGCATTTCCCTTCCTACCATCCCTACAATTCTTAGCTACAGTACTTGCCTGTACTCTTCTTTTGTAACCTGGCCTTCCTTCCACTTCCTACATGTGTCCTTTCTGTTTTCAGGGTCTCTCTGAGCTTTTTGTGAACCCACATTGGTATTTTCTTGTCGTCGTTGTTGGAATTGTTTGTAATTCTGCCTTTCAAATTTCCTATTTTAAATCTTGTCTAATGAAAAGAAATAGTTATTGAAGCTTTGTGAACTTTTGTGTGCCTCTGCACACCTATTTGTGCCTTTTTGTTTCGCCTAAAAATCTATCACTTCACTATGCAAATTGCAATTTGATTTGTGCTAACACAGCTATCACTGTCTTTATCAGAAATAAAGGGAATAATTATGATACTGTAGGATGCCAGTCTCCTTGACCTGCTTCCTCACAATGAAATTGTATAGATGTCTACTCCAAAACAGGTTGAGTTCAATGGGGTTCTCTCAGATAAGCAGGTGTTGCAGTTTAAGCCTTTCAGCAAAGCAGTGTCTGGCCTTTCATTAATCACCTTGAATAGATTTACAGTTGAATAGAAAGCATTATGATTCTATGACAACTGTAGTTATCTGAAAGTTCAGTCATGGCAACTGGACTTCTTTCTTGTTAGGTTGAATCATTTTGCTACTCATCCAAGTAGCTTCTTCAGTCTGAGGAGAGTTGGTAGGAGATCCCTGATATATCCTCCACATTGGTTTCACTTCCCCCTGGTCTGAACAGGCTCGTTAAAAGGACAAAGCATTGGGGGTGAGAGATAATCCCACTTCTGCAGTCCATCATCCCCAGTCCTTTGTCCTTCGAACAAGCCTATTCAGATCAGGGGGAAGTGAAACCAAGGTGGAAGATATATCAGGGATCTCCTACCAACTCTCCTCAGACTGAAGAAGCTAAGTTGGTTAGTAGTGAAATGTTTCAACCTAACAAGAGAGAAGTCCAGTTGCCATGACTCAATTTCCAGATAACCTCATCTGGATGACTGAGAATCTTCACAGATAAACAACTGTAGTTACATGATACTGGAGACCGTGTTCAGGTTTTAGGTAATACAGTGGTGCCTCGCATTATGAGCGCTCCATTTTACGACGAAATCGCTTTACATTGAAGGTTTTGCAATCACAAAAGCGATCACAAAATGATGTTTAGTATGGGCAAATTTCACTTTGCAATAATTGGTTCCCTGCTTTGGGAACCGATTCTCGCAAAGCGATGATTTTCGGCCAGCTGGTCGGCGGTTTCAAAATGGCAGCCGGGTAAAAACATGGCTCCCCGCTCTTTTCTGGGACGGATTCCTCGCTGCACAGGCAGCGAAAATGGCCACGCTATGGAGGATCTTCACTGGACGGTGAGTTTCAAGCACCTAGAAACGCATTAATTGGGTTTTAATGCGTTTCTATGGGCTTTTTAATTTCGCATTATGACATTTTCATTCTACAGTGATTTCGCTGGAATGAATTAATGTCGTAATGCGAGGCACCACTGTAGTATTGCCTCTTGCTAGCTGTATCACTAAGTTTTTAGAGGCTGTGATGGTATGTCAGTTCACTGTTGTTTGGAAGAATGCTGAATAGAGAAACAAAGGTGGGTGAGGGGTGAGACAGATCAAATTTTCCTTAACTATCTGATAACCAAATTGACTGTTCTTTATTTTCTTTCTCCTAATCTCACTCAGAAAAGCCCTACTCAGAAAAGCTATTAAGTATGCTTACCTTTAAGCATATTTTGAAATACCACTTGCATAAACCTAGACTCTAGGGTTTTGCTATAAATTTAAGCAGTGACTCACTTTTGAAGCCAGACTGAAGTACTTTGTTTGACTGGGATGATTTTTAAATTATACGAAAGCTCTGCTTCTAGTTAAGACAAGGAGCCACCTTAATCCCTTTTAAATTATCTCTCCACAGCTACCATCACTAGCATGTATAGAGAATGTTTGGTACTACAGATCAGCAGTGTATAACATTCAGATTTTTTAAGTTAGCTGTTTTAATTTCATTTGAAGATCATGGAAAGTAAGAAAAACAAGGCTTTTTTTTAAAAAAATGACTCTAATGGCACCTAGCTTCCTTTGTTGTCTTGAAACTGTAACTGATTACTTTTCAAGAGTAAATTATAAGCTCTGCAGAGACCTTTGCCTTCTTGATAGTGGCCATGTTCCAGGGGTGAACCACCAGATTTGCTATTATTTGCCGTAGTATAAAATTGATAAGGATCAGCAGAGGCTGCCATTGAATGAAATACACTAAATGAATACTTTCAGGAGATCAAGATGTGATTAACAGAATTGGGGGACACTTATTTGTTGCTTTGTTTTTCTTCTTTCTAGTTAAAACAAGCTAAAAAATATCTAAAAGAAAACCCTTTTTACCACCTTCCTCCATTTTGCTCTTTATTTGGACAAGCACTACAAAGACAATATTGCCTCAGTCATTCATTTCTCCAGTCTGAGATATCCTACCTAGAATGATAAACGATAAACCATACCTTTTATTGTTTCCCTTGTCTCCCATATCATCAGGGTAAATGAAGTTGTTGAACATTATATGAAAATATTCTTTAAAATAGACCAAAAAATTCATCCATTTCTGCAGTGAACCAGTATTAGATACTTACCTCATTTTGCTGGGAATGAAGTAGCTGCAGCTTCATGTGCTTCATGTAGGCCATTGTGATTGGCATATTATAATCAATCATGCTAGTCACCAAAGTGGGGTTTTTTCCATTATCTGTAAGAACAGAAGTTTATTTTGTTTGTATTGAAACTGATAGGTTTGAGTCCATACAAATAGATACATACAACTAGACTGTAATAAAATCCATTGCAAAAATTTTATATGTTCTACTTCCTGCCTTTGGGAATGACTCATCAAGAATGCTTCCATAAGATACAGTGGGGTCTTGACTTAAGAACGGCTCGAGTTAAGAATATTTTGACTTAAGAACCACTCTCATAGGAAAATATTGGCTTGACTTACATACTTAGATTTGAGTTAAGAAGTGAAAAAAACCCCCGTGGGAGGCAGGGAAAGTGCAAAATTTGAACTTTCAGTTAACTGTTGGCCAGTGAAAAGGGTGCCTGTCTGCTTCCTCCCTCCTCCCAGCGTTTAGAGAGTGGATTGGGAGACAGTCTTCAGACTGCCTGGTATTGAACTGCCTGGACTGTATTTTCCCTGCCTTCCCTGAACTTTTCTTGACCTAAGAAACAAAATATCCCTCTCTAGTGGTCGAAGGCGGAATAGCAGCTTCCCATTAGTTTCTATGGACGGAAAAGAGCAGATACGGCTCAAATGGTTCTCAATGCATTCCTATGGGAAATGCAGATTTGACCTGAGAACTTTTTGACTTGAGAACCACCTTCCAATATGGATTAAGTTCTCAAGTCAAGACCCCACTGTACTCTGAAAACATTCTATATAACATTTTTTTCTTGCTTTATCCACAAAATGTTGGTGCACAGCCTGAGGAATACAGATTAACATCCACAGCTAGCTGTTTCTTCAGTTTTTTAGTGGTCTAATAAGGGTATCACCCACTCTTGCATCATTTTCAGTAGGGTTTATCAAATATTTGTTACATTTATATTCTTTTCTTTCATGATTGACCTCAAGGTAGTGTACACACTGTTTCAAACAGTCTGTGTCAGATTCTTTGCTAGAATTGTACAATTAGATGCTTTATATAGTATTCTAAGTATGCTAGAGAATAGCATTAGCAATGGTTGCACAGAGTGGGGTGGAGTGGAAAGAAATGCTTTGTGTATGAATCAGGGAATGGCAAATTGTACTAAGAAACACGATCATTTAGAAAAAAAATCTTCCAGATTCCTTCATCATTTGCCTAATGCTCACCCAAAGAAGAACCTGCAATTTTTGCCAGCACTTATAGCTTTTTGCAAGCATATAGTCAGAGAAGAGAATAAGAGGGTGTTTAAAAGATGTGTTTGGCCTGCACTCAGCATTGGACTCCTGCATATGTTGAACTAGCCATAATTGTTAGATTTTTGCATTTTAAATTGCTACATCCTGCTATGCTAAGAGAAGTCACTTGCATCTCTTTACAGAAACATATATATAACCTCTTCAAGGATGAGATAGCTTGCATGAATGGCCAACAATAGAGGGTTTATTTTAACAGGGAGAAGAAGAAGAAAAGAATGTTTCCTTTATGTAAAAACAGCTTTTCAGCAGAAACAAGGTAAGACATATATAAAATCATTTCAGGGAATGCAGGAAACCTACTATATTCCTACTTGAATGAAATGATATGAATTGTTAAATCATTCTAGTGTGCAAAATTTTTATGAGTGTTCACTTAAACCAGGAAAATTTAAAGGGCATTATGAATAAAATTACTTTCCATCCCACTATTTGACACTGAAGTTACCTTTATGATCTGCTCCATCTGGATTTAAATGCATTCTTTTCTGGCACTCTGAGCAGCTCATTAGAAATCGTGTCACCGCTTCTCTGGGTAGAAAGGCATAGGTCTCTGAAATCTGAAATGGATAACAATATACAGGCATCATTCTATAAGCTGATTGAACCTGATTTAACAAAACTGTTATATTTCTGAATAAGACACTTGATATCATAATTCCTGGAAGGAAAATGAAAGCATTCATCAAGTAGTACACCAGATTTCATGGAAAAAGCCATTTAATCTGACTGCTTATCAAATAAAAGAACAGTGTTTATAGATCAGCCATTCTTAAAGGGATGGGGTTTCTTTTCAATAAGAAAAGAAATCAGAAAGTAAGAAGTACTAAAATATGTATTTCAAAGAGAAACTCTTTCTCCATATGCAGAGTGACAAAATAAAAAAGGAGCACAGAGTTCCTGTACCTGTAATAGTTATTTGGAAGAGGAAATTTCAGCAGGTATAACTTAAAGCTTACTAATTCACTCTCACTGAGCCCTGTGTGGCTGGCAAATGAAGTTGGCTTGTTCATTTCCCTGGAAAAATCTGAAGCAAAATAGATTTTTTTCAGACTGAATAGTTCAGAATGTGGTTCTTGGGGAGGTTTTGAGATGTAGGGTTTGATGGGACATATGAATCTCATTGACTTGTCCTACTTGGAAGGTCCCTTCCAGGTTGCTTTGCACAATATGGATTTTCTGCTAGAAACAAGTAATGGAACATGGCTATTGCTAATTGTTGTATCCATCCTCTACTGTGATGAGATGGGTGAATTTTGTTGGATTATCCTACTCAGAAGTTCTGTTCTCTTTTTTGTGTATTTGTTTTTCATTATACAATTTTTCCTCTACTACAAATATTTTTGCACACAACTGTGTTCAGACAACCACATCACAAAATTAAGGTAGATGTGAATCCTAAAGAATGGCTGCATTCCTGGTTGCATATTCATGCAGGAAGGTCAACTTTGAAGTATGCATTAAAATATGATCTGAGCAAATTCTGCATCTGCTCTCTAGTCAGGTGAGCTGTTGAATAGAAAATGAATACAGTGGTGCCTCGCTTAGTGATTGCTTTGTTTAACGATGAAATCGCTTAGTGATGACTTTTTCGGAGCGATCATGCGCTCTGTTTAACTATGGTTCCTATGGGTGATTTTCGCATAGCGATGACAGTTTGGGTCCCCCGTTTCACTTAACGATGGTTTTGACAGCCTCATGTTGGCTGTTTTTTAAATGTTTAAAAATGTTTAGAATGCTTGAAATCATAAGTGCACTTAATAAACCCTTTGTTAAACTAATTTGACTTCATTCCGACTCTTTTTAAATTTGTTGTAATTTTTTCCCCATTGAGATTCATTGAATAGGTTTCAATGCATTTCAATTGGGGAACCATGTTTCGCTTAGCGATGTTTCCTATGGCGATTTTCGCTTAAGGACGGTAATCCGTTCCCATTGGAACGGATTATCCGGTTTGCAATGCATTTCTATGGAAAACCGTGTTTCGCTTAGTGATGAAATCGCTTAACAGCAATTTTTGGGGAACCAATTATCATCGTTAAGCGAGGCACCACTGTATAGCACACTCCTGGACAGAGCATTTCCTCATGAGCAGAGAAGGATTTGGGGCCTACAATTTGGAAAAGCCAAAATTAATCTTTCTGGAGGGGTGTGTGACACGAGCTTGCCCTTCCATGAGGTGGAGTGGATTCCCCACCTCAGGGAGTAGAATGGGACAGACTCAAATAGCACCATCCACACCATGGTAGGAAGTCCTCTTTTGCCAGCCCAGTGAAGCAGTATGCTGAGTGCCCCAGAGTGCTGCTGTCCCACAATCAGAAATGCCACATCAGGACAGCACCATGGAAGTCTTCTGCAGCAGCCACCTGCCTGATCTCTTGCTCTGGAGGGTGCTCTCCAGAGGCTCCTCAAATGAGCTGAACACAAATCTTCTTTTATGGAGGGCAGTCCTTCATCTGAATGGCTGCCAGAGGACATTCCTGCTTCTGAAAGCGTGCTCTGTTTGAAGGGCTGTCTATTTCAAGTCTAATTTAAAGATCAAGGAGTGAGATCAGGACCAAGAAATTGCCTGTACACACTCAACCGCATCTTGACTGCAGATTCAGCAGGCATACTAGTCACCTGGTCACTGTTATCCCCTCCTACATAAGATGCATTCAGAGCAGCCATTTGCCTGATCTTTCACTCTTGAAGAGATGGAATAGTTGCTGATTTTTCTTCTTTTTCTTGTAGCTCTCCAAAAAGCATACCCATGTTAAAGAGTAGTGCAATTGGCTAGGGGGTAACAGTAGTAAGAGGAGTATGCTTTCATGAAGCAGAAATATTACTTTAAATTCTTTCCATTTTCTCACAATATGTATTTTGCCACAAAAGTTCAAAAACTAAAATGGCTAGCATTCACCAAGGAATGCCAACAATCTCATCCATCATTCCTAAAGCTAGGGTGGACAAAAAGGGAAAAGATTTCAGCCATGTATCTATCCTTTATGCCTGGCCTCCCTCCAGCAAAGAATCAGCAATTGCCATTCCTAAGCAATTGCCATTCAGACACATGTCGCATCCAGAAGGTAGAAAGGGAGGCAGCCAAAAGATATCCCTCTAACCCAATTCTGCTCTGACCATGCCACATTCAGTATATGCTTAGGAACTATTGCACTGGAAGTGATCATGTTATTGCCAGCCAGATTAAACCAGTGGGTCTTTAAAATTAAGACTGAAAATATCTTTATGCATTCTTCATCAGCACTCTTACATAGTTCTACTTTGGCTGTATTGAACTTCATGGTATATCCCTATGCATTACCATCCTGTTTTTTTATTATTATTTTTTTTGTTTTGTATTTTTTGGGGGGAAGCATGCTTTGTTTATTTTAACCAAACATTTCTGTTGCAGTCTTAAACCATTCAAGTAGGATAGCAATCTTGTCTTGAGAAGCAAGAAGGCTAAGACTTTGGATACAGTACATATCTTCACTGGAACTTGAGTTTACATTTTCAATAGCCACATTAAATTTGCATACATGGCAAAACATTTCCAATTTATTCTCTGAGTATGATTTAAACATCCAGAGGTTCATTTCTGCATACTGCTATCTTTGGCTAATTTTGTCACCTTGTAGCCTGGCATATTAGCTCATTACAGAAATAGCCAGCAGAACTGCAGAGTCCCTTCTGCTCCATCCAGCTATAATCTGTTTCACTTTAATCAATTTAATAAATCCCAGAATCATTCTACTTGGTCCCTGTAATGGATATAAAATAACAAGAGCCAAAGTGACATTTCTTTAGGCTTCACCCACACACAACACAACCAGTTTGGCTGTACAACAGGTGAACACAGGCTGTGCTTGAGAAGTGTTGCTAGCAATGTGACTCATCATAAAGAGAGTGGTGGGAAGGAAAAGGAGTAAAGACAAGGTCAGGTCTGCTGTCTCTCCTATCTTGTCTCTAATCAACCCACTGCATTCCAACAAGACCCCGGCACTTTGTTGGATTGAGCACCTCAAAGGACAAATCGTGCTTTTCCTTTATGAAAGTATGAGGTTTAACTGCATTCACACTTGACTGGGAAAGATTTGTATAGTTACAAGTGACTCATTTGGACTGTGTTGCAAACTACACGATTATAATTCCAACAAGGTTTTTCTCAGTCCAGTGTTTCTCAGCCCTTTGAACTCATGCATCCTTCTAACAAACAAACAAACAAACAAACAGAAATCTTATGCCCCCATTGAAACTGCCTCCCCCAATAATTTACTTGAAACTTGAAATATTGTGACTTCAGCTACGAGACACAGAGGGTGATGTCAACAAATGCCGTTTTCCCTGTGCTTAACATACACCCATCACTAGTAAAAAAGAAAAAGAAAGAAGAAAATGAAAATTTGGTTTTTAATTCTATGGGAATATCACATTTGGTGGGTATTCAACTTTCATGGATTGTACCAAGTAGTACTATAAACACAAACCAGGTTATATACTACTGTCCAACTTGAAGATTGCTAAAAAGGTAAAGGAAAAATAATGGCTACATTGTATTCGCGAAGGCTTTCACGGCCGGGATCTAATGGTTGTTGTGGGTTTTTCGGGCTTCTTGGCCGTGTTCTGAAGGTGGTTCTTCCTGACATTTCGCCAGTCTCTGTGGCCAGCATCTTCAGAGGACAGCAACAACCAGAAAAATCTGCAGTAGCTGAACATGCCCTAAAACAAACTGGACATGAAATTCTATTTCAAAATACTGAAAGACTGGACAACACCAGCAATCATTACGCCAGACTGCACAGGGAAGCCATTGAAATCCACAAGCATCAACAAAACTTCAACTGGAAGGAGGAAAGTCTGAAACTCAACAAAACCTGGCTCCCAGCTCTCAAAAACACAGAGTGCAAAAGGTCAACGAACTCCACCCAGCCACAAGGTCAGGGGATTACTACACACAAAAGACCAGCTAATGACACCCATCAACCACAGGGACAGATAATCTCCCCTCCTTATCAAAACAATACAGCCACAACAAAACATACTAATTAACCATCTCCTGATAGGACAATAGCCTTCTCACAAACAAGCCTTCTCACAGCCATAAATACTCCACTCTCAAGCCTCACCCAGAGCACAGCTTGCTGTCCTCTGAAGATGCCGGCCACAGAGACTGGCGAAACGTCAGGAAGAACCACCTTCAGAACACGGCCAAGAAGCCCGAAAAACCCACAACAACCAATGGCTACATTACTGTTCATCACAGGATGAAACATTATGCCAAGTACACAAAAAGCAATGGGTTTAATTGGGGGTTTTCCCATATTACAAATTAAAAAAGAATATGTCAGATGTGTCTTTTCAAACTACATACACCCCAAGTTGAGAATTGAGAATTGCCATTCTAGCCCATGAAAAACAGTGCTACAACTTTATGCTCCAAGATTGCAGAGACCAACTGAAGGACAGGTTGCAAGAAAGTTAGAAATGGGTTTCTGTTAGCTTCCTGTTTTAATTACCTTCACTTTCAACTGATGAATTTTGTATTATATATCTTACCAAAGTTCTAAATATAAGATGA